AGTATTAGAAATGCAAATTCTGGGGCCCCACCCCAGCGTTCCTGAACCAGAAACTCTGGAGGAGGAACCCAACAATCTGTGTTTTAATAAGCCCTCTAGGGGATTCTGGTGTCCACTGAGATTTGAGAGCCACTGCTTTAGACTACTCAGAATATATATTCTGGCTTTCTCATTCACTAGCTGTGTGACATTGGGTAGTTATTTAACCCCTTTTAGCTTCAGAAGTCTTATTCATAAAGTAGGTAAACAATAATTGTCCTTACTTAATAGGGGTGATGCAATAATTGGATGACATAGTCCATGCAAAGCCCTTGAAAAATTACTAGCACATAGTAAACTCTCAACAAGTATTAACTATTACCATTATTTTTATTGCTATCTTTTTCTTATATATAAGAATCTTCAATAAATGAGAAGAACCCATTCTGTCCCAGGCAATAAGATAGCAATCAGATATCTAATTTTGGAAGAACAAGAGAAGGCTATTCCAATGGTGTCATATTTACTTAACATCATATTGTAATGAAGCATTCCCAATTTGGAAGGATTGAAAGGAAATCCCAAATGCTCCAACATTCTGGTAAGCTTAAATTTAAAGGCTTACACAATCAGCCCAGCACAGGGCTGATCAGCAAAAAGATGAGGAGAAGAAAGGAGGGCTTAGTATATCCATTTGTAAAGTTCTCTAAAGAGCTGCAGGTAAGGCCTCCTGCTAGCCTTTACAGGAATTAGAAGAGGAACTCCTTCTGAGTAAATGCAATCCCACAGGTACTATGCTTGGTGAGTAAATGCCCTTTTGTGCCATTGGACAAAAACTTCCAACAGGGCTCATGATTTGAGGAGCAGAGATTGGGCTGAATTTTGGCCCTCAAGCCCAATCAGCTAGGTTTCCTTGTACAGGGCACAACGTACATAACCACACACAGCAGCCCTGATTATAAATTAAGGCCTTTGTCTTTTATTAATATCTATCCTATTTGACTTTGTTAGAAGAAAAGATAATTGGTACTTGCTCCCAAGGCTTAAGAGAATTGAGTTAAGAATCTGGGAAAGACTTAATCCCCCACTCTGAGACTTTATTTATTCCTTTTTTGGTGTTGATAGTGCTTACACCTACCTACCTATTACTGTGAGATTCACAGGTATTGTAAAACTTGAAAGAAAATGCCTATCTCTTGGATAATCCTGAGAATTAAATGAGATCCATCTGCAAATACCTTTTAAAATGTAGAGAGCTGTTTACACATAAAGTAATAGTATGGTTGCTTTTATTGTCTCTATGGCAGCATATAGTAACACCTCTGCTGTTTTCCCACCCAAGAGCTCATGACTATTATTATCGCTATTATTAACTACTATTAAATATATCATTGCATTGATATGTAAGTCCAACTTAGACCTGTTTCTGAGAAAGATGCTTTCTCTAACTCAATAAGGTGCCAATGATAGTTACTAATTGGAAATATTAATTTATAAGAATCTGAAGAGTCATAACAGCCATAATAGGCTGCTCCTCTCTCCCGTTTCACCACACTACCACCATCACTATGACCACCACAGCCGCTGCCATGTGGCAATGCCATCACTGCTTTTGCAAAGCGATCAGGGAAAAAAACCAACCTTCTAATTATTTCTACTACTTCCATGTATTTCCAAGCCCCTCCAGAAGAAGGGGTCCCTTTCCACCATTTTTTGTACAGCACAAAGTGTCCTCTCTGAAGGCTTGCTTGGGGGTCCACAGTGTTAAAAAGCAGCCTCATATCCAGCAAAACAGAGAGGAGGTCAGGTTCTGCCTTCCTCAGCCCTTCTCAGCTGAGGTCACACAAAAAGTTTGCAAGGTCTTTTGAACTGACTGCATAAGTCAAGCAATGGCAGCCCTTGTCACCTACACATACACCTCCAGATGGACTCCTGGAGCCAGAAAGTCTGAGTCAACCTTGGGACACTGAACTCTTTGGCCTGACTAACTGACCTTGTAACATTCTGCCATTTTTTCTGCCTCAACCATTCCTGCCTCAACTGATAAGCCAACTTCGTGACACCAGACCTTGGACCTTGTGACACCCTGCCCTGGCAACACTCCCCCAGCTTGCAAAAATCCACTCTGAACTGTAACTTCCATAACTTTCCACTGCCTACCCCAAGCCTATAAAACCAACTCCTATCCCACTGCTCTCCACTGACTCTCTTTGTGGACTCAACCCACTCGCATTCTATTGAATATACAGCCTTGTTGCTCACACAAAGCCTATTTAGGTGATCTCTTCATTCACAGCATGCCTAACAAAGTTTAGTGTCTTTTTAGTTCTTCTCAGTCCAGATAGATAACAGCCAGGAACACTTAGCAGCCTCAGTTCCAGTAGTTGAGAGGGGCTGGAAAATTAGCTAAAGATTTGATCTGGTATGTGCTACCCATGGTGTGTTGCAGCCTTTCTCACTGCTATGCTGACCCAATCTGTACTCATTCGCTTCTGGCTCACTTTCTCACCAAATCTCCAATTTTCTAATGGGACCAAAGATGTGCCCTGAACCTTAGGCAACTTGGCTAAAACTCTGATAATCTATTTTTGTTCATTTTCTGGATCCTGCTTTACATGTTCCCATGGGCTGGAGCATTGTTTTCACCAAATGATCAAGTGGACAACAAAGGCAATGTCTATCTTACTTTAACACTCATTCCTCTTCCGCCATTCCCACGGTAACACCTCACCCACCAGTTGGCATGCCCTCATATACAGACATGTGACTGTACCAAATATGGGTACTACCCACCCCTTTGAACAAAGCACAGTGAGCTGCCTGAGGTTGTACTCAGGCTACAACCCAACCAATGACTCAGTTCCTCTACCCCCACCCCAACCCATTCTGACTCATGTCACTGAGATCCCAGCATGCCTCATCTGAATCTGCCTATGTTTTGTGAAAAAACAGAGAGAAAATCCTGGAGTGCAGAGCTCTTGTCGTCACTCTCTTTTGTCTCTCTTTCTGAATCCCTCCTCCACTTCCTGTTGCCGTCCTTGCTATTCAAAGTCTTCCTTTGCTCCATGACCATTCTCTCTAGGTTTTGTTCCCCCCAATCTCAACATTTTCATTGCCTTGGTGGGCAGATCCGTACTGTAATAAAGAAGACAATCTGACTAAGAGAAGTCACATTAAAACAATGACTGGGATCTTAAAGTGAGAAACACTTATTTGCATTATTATTAAATTCAAGCAGCGTTTCTCAACTCTGGCTGCACATTACAAGCACCTGGGAAGCTATTTAAAATACCTTTGCTGGACCCCACCACAGACCAATTCTAGTAGAATTTCTGGAGCTGGCATTGTGGTACCAGTAGTCTTGAAAAGATGTCCAGGTAATTCTAGTGTGCAGCCAGACTGAGAACCCTTGACCTAAAGGAATCTCTAATCATGAGGCAATAATATATGTGCATTTGCTTCCTCCGTGCCTCAAAGAGGTTGTGGATGGTTAGCATTAATCCTAATTCTTCTCAGTCTGACAGCCCAAAGAACTTCAGGGCCTGGATTTATTTAACATTTTATGGTAGAGGCCAAAATGTCATTTCAAAATATACAAATGAGTGGGATGTGAAACATTCATGGAATATAAACTTGCAGGAGACACTGGGCATCATTAAGATTTGTAACATATTACAAAGTTATGATACTAAATATATTAACCCGCTTCTGGCGTGGCTTCCTGGAAATGGTTTTATATCTTTCAAAATAATTCTATGCTCTGCTTTGAAAGTATCAAGCTCTATTATGAAGTAATAAGAGCCACACTAATTGCTTAACATCATGGAATCTTATACACTGAAGCTGGAAGCAGATTACTGTAGTTATGGAACTAAAAACCACTCTTGCCCTCATCCTCTTTTAATGATCATAATTAAAGGTTCAATACTGAAGGCACCTGAAAATTTAAAACAGGCTTCTGGTTATAGGCCAGGCCTTAGCTGGACCACTCAGTAACAAACTCATTGTTAAGGGAATGACTGGGACAAGGACTAATACTCAAAGGAATCAGTTTGTCAAATAGTTTCTGAGATATCCATCCTAAAGTGGTGGAGTGGCTGCAATGGGCGAATTAGAAGCTTTCGCATGAATCATAGCCATTTTTAGAGGAAGGTAAAATGGAGATTAAAAAATTGGAATAGAAAAAAAGTCAAAACCATGTGTTGCAAGGGCTTGCCATACGTGTAAGTAAAAGAGATCTGATTCAAGAGCACCTGGGCCCCTTTTTGCCAAAACCCAACAAACTAACTTTGAGAATGATAGCTTTAGTGGATCAAGTCCTTTGCTTCGCATTTGTCTATTGTCTCTGCAAGAATCATCTTTGAACATTAACCTTCCAGAAGAAGAGGAAATTGTTAAAATTTAGACAGTCTTCTTATTTTAATATGCCTTCATTCTTCAGCTAGGTGCCCTCCATGGCAACTAGCTGTGTGCTACAGAAAGAAAAGCCCTGCTTTGAGAAGAGGCAGAAGGTATGGACATTTTGGAGTCCAGAGAAGACAGATTCTAAATGAGTGTCCCATACGGACACTGGGTACCTTTGAAGGAAAGTACCCAGAAAGGAGTCAAAAATAAATCTCTCCTCAGTGACTAGAACAAACAAAAATGAAGCCATAAGAAGACCCTCACCTCCCCACCCCATTTTTGACACGTCTGAAGCTTCGGGGGTCCTAAGGGCAGAAAGACAGGATGTATGGATACATTGCTCTTGAAACCATTCTTCTCCACTCAGGTGCTGAGAGCGGGCACTGGCATCCGCAGGCATTTGAATCACAGAGTTTTTTGTACCTTTGTTCAGTTCATAAAATAGACTCTGCTGAAGCAGAGCAGTCTTGGGACCTGAGTGTGAATGAAAGAGGGCAAATGTTTAAAGAAGTGGGAAGGGATGTGCTACCCTAGGGTATGTGGGGAGGAAACCTTTTTGAGGTTTTAATCTCTTTCCCTGAAGTCATGTTTAAATTTCAACCATAAAAAGCACTCACTGCGAATTCTGTCTGCCTGGTGAATCCTCTGGAGAGCTTTCCGAATGCTTTGGCTGTCTTGTCCTGTGGTCAGGACGACCCCTACAGGTAAGCCGTGGCTCCGAAGAGCACTTGCGACTCGATTGGCTGTATGCACCCAAATATCTTCATCTGAGGAAATGACTCCAGCATGAGCCCACTGGAAATATTTCATGACAGTTACAAGCACCCGGATGGGAGAAGGGAGTATCCGAGAAAAGGTCGGGTAGCTATTTTTATTGTCTAATTCATAATTCACACAAGACCAAGAGAAAATCCCTTTGTCCCAGCTGTTTCCCAGGAGCGAGGCTGCCTCGCAGTAGCCAGGGTTTGTAGGTCCAATAAATCCTGAGGCCATCTGGTGGTGGGAAATAAAACTGGAGAAGGCCCTCGAAGTCTGGCAGTCTTCATTGAGAATCACATATTCAAAAGAGTAACTCAGGTCAAAAGATGGGTCCCGGTTTATTCGCTCAATGGCTAATCGCGCAGCAACCTCAGGCAGGGCCTTTGAAAACAGTGAATCACAAGCCCAAGGGCCCACCACCCCTATCTTGTAGGGGAGTGTCCACACCTGCCGCGGAAGAGACATGACAGCCAGGAGGCACAAGCACCACAGGAACTTGTAGGATGCAAGGCCATGGTGTCCCAGCAGTTTCCTGAAAGCCGCAAACCAGAGCACAAGGCGAGAAAAACTACAGAGTCCCAGGAACATAGCCCTCCTGCTTCCAGCAAGCTAATGACGAGATACTGGAGTTATTCTGCTCTCCCGAGATGGACAGTGGTGTTTCCAAACGCCTGTCAATCAGAGGAAAAGGTTTGTTACCAACATTATTTCTGAAGCTTCCGAAAATAATCACTTGTGAAAGAATGGCAAAGGAATGGTAGTGCCCAAACTCAAAGTTTCTTTCCTCCATCCTGACAAAACTCCTCTTCCTGTATCCCTTATCTCGGTACATGGCACATCCATCAGCTGTTTGCCCACTTGCTTCTTTCAGAAAACTGGAAATCACTGAGAATCCTTCTTCTCTTCACCCACATTCAATCCATCACCAATTCCTATTGATTCAACTTCAGTAATAGCTGCCCACCTTACGGTGTCGTGAAAATTACATGAGTTAACACACAATAAGTGCTTATAACAGAGCATGGCAAGTCATTAGCATTATACTAGACATAGTATTATCGTTATTACAGTTTTAAACATGTTCATTTTTCTCTCCCATACCATTCTCTTGGAGAGAAATAGATGTAAACAGATAATGGCAATGCAGAATAAAAAGTGCTATGATTCAGGTAGCTCAGACAGACAGAGAGGATCACCGAAACCCAGATTTCAGGGGAGGAGAGGAGGGAGGAAGAGCAGTCTTTCCAGGTTGAGTACTGAAAAAACGCCAGGTGAATGGGGTTGCAGGAGTAGGTTGCTACTAAGATGCTAAGAGCCTTCCAAACAGAAGGAACAACATTCAGAAAGACTCAGAGGTAAAGGACACATAGATACATAGATAGATAGATAGACAGACAGATAGATAGATAGATAGATAGATAGATAGATAGATAGATAGATAGATAATAGATTATATATGTACATATAAATATACATATATACACACACACATATATATGGATTCTTAGAATTCTTAAGCATTTGTTCTGCTTGAGTTTGTAATGTCAACGAAGGCAAGGGCCAGATCACCAAGATATGTCATGATTTAATCGTGTAGCCGATGGCTTTAAGCAGAGAAATGGTATTATCAGATTTCCATTTTAAAGGATCACTCTAGCAACAATCCGGAGAATTAGTTGGAAGAAAGCAAGACTGGAGGCAAAGAGACCAGTCTGGAGTCTGTCATAATAACCATATGAGAAATGATGGCAGACCAAGAGAGCAGTAGTGAAGACAGAGAGGAATAGGATCGTTTTCTCCAAGGTTAAAAATATCGAGGAGATTCAAAAAATAGAAATAACAAGAACTTGGTGACTGACAAGATGTGTAGGTAAGTGAAAAAAAAGGAGGACTCTAAGATGATTTTGAGCTTTTCAGACCTAGGGAACTATTTGGAAAATGGCGCAAGTCTCTGAGATAGGGAACATTGGAGGAAGGGAGTGGGAGAGACAATGCATTGTTACAGAGATGTCGAATTGGTCAACAAGTAGCAATATCCAGTAGACAATATCACATACTGGAGCTCTTAATAGAAAGCTGGACAAGAGTTATAAGTTTGAGTGTAATCAGTTGATAGAGTGTAATTTAAAACATGCCTTTTGTGGAGTAAAAAAAGAAGACAAAGGGCAAAACCCTGAGACCCCACAACACTTAAAGGTAGGTCAGAGAGATGTTAATAAGGTGAATCCTTAGTAAATCCTTAATTCTTATCAAAGATCAAAATAATGGCATGGCTTTCTTCAGCGCTGATAATCAGCACTGGTGTGCATCAGTCAGGCCCAACTGGTTGTTTGTGGGCAGCAGCAATTCTGTAACTTGTCTAAGGGCATACCACAGTAGAATGAAGATTTGCACTCCAGTCTGTGCCAGCCCTATTGGTTATTATCTTGACTCTCACTCCTAATTTTCTGAGAAACCTTGACTCCTGAAGAGACCAATCTGAGGCATATCTAGTGGATCTTAAAGCCCTACCACAAATAATATGCCCCAACACTCGTATATTGGTGAAAGCTGGTTTAAATGAGAGTCAAGAAAGTCTTTGGGTAACCAACAGCTCACAAAACAACATGAACCAGTGGCTGAGGGTTGTGTGGGATGGGGGAGGCCTTCCAACTTTTCTTTGGGGACAGTGGAAAGATGGTTCTGGGCTGATTATATGCATAAAACCTCAAATTTATTCCTAGGCCCTCAAAGGTAATCTAGTCTAACCTGCCTCCAAAAAAAAGTAGATCTGTTCTGTGCACTATGTTGAATGCATGAGAATGAGATACAGGATGGATAAAACGTGAGGTGTTGACCCAGGCTTCAAAGAGCTCCCAACCCAGAACTACAGGCTGAGCTCTAGTTGAGAGCCACATGCTTCTCTTCCCACCTTCTTCCAGCCTCCCTCTTTTCTCTTCCATGGCAAAATTTGGGAGCCAGGACACGGTAGGAGCGATGCCTTATCTGGAGTCACATGCGAAGGATCTCTGTTTCTGGTCTGTATTGTGACAAGGATATTGAACTATCTGATATCTCCATCCTTATAGGCCTCATCCTTTTGACCATTAGGAATGGTCAACAGTGAGGACAGCTCTATATGGGAAACAGACCCCTATTCACAGCCACAGGGAAAGAAAGCCGACATACTGACCCTTCTTCCCCAAACACATTCATTTTCTGGTTTCTTTCCCAGTATCTGTGCATTTAATCCAGAAATCAGCACTTAGAATAACAAAGTCTAAGATTTACTGAGTTCTTGCTATGTGTCAAACTCTAGGCTACACCCTTTCCCTGTATTGTCTCATTTTAAAAACTGAATTTAAAAAGCTCATCACAGTCCTTTGAAGTAGGTATTATTATCATCACTATTTACAGATAATGAAACTGAGGCTCAGAAAGGGTAAGTAACTTGTCTAAGGGCATACCACAGTAGAATGAAGATTTGCACGCCAGTTGATTAGGCACTGTGCTAGATAAAAGTCCTGTAGATAACCCCTCATCTATGAAGTCAATGAGACCACCGTTATTATACCTTCTATATTACTCAAACTGAATTTGAATCATTCATTTGCAGTTTAAAGAAGTTCCTCGGACCCCCATGAAAGAAGAAATTAGGTAGAATTGGGGAGGGGCAGAGTAAATTGGGAGGAGCCATCAGAGATTCATTATCCAACCAGAAGTAATTTGCCACTAGTGTTCCAGCCTAGCCCTGGGACTGCCCACTTACTCCTCACTCAGGGCACAATGCTGCACAGCTGGGGGTGGGGAGTACCAGTTCCATTATATTCTATATAAAGGTAATCCTAATCTTTGAGAATGGAAATCTTGAGGGTACACCCTTCGGCATATTAGCCCCAATTTTCTACTTCCTCATCCACAAAATGGGGGTAAATTTAATGTAATCATATGGAGATGAAGAATTAAATAAGTTAGAATGCTAAGCACACAGTTGTCTTTCAACAAACACAGGTTCTTCCTTGCTATTTGGAAAGAGTACTGCACTGGGAATCAGAAGGCCAGGATCCTGGATCCAATTCTGCACTGACTCACCATGTAACTCGGACAGATTGTTCCTCACTCTGGGTCCCTCCTTTTTCCCCCTTAGCTGGACTAATAGATCTACGAGACCCTTCCTTCTCTGACATCCATCCATACTGGGATTCTGTGCTTCATCTAGGCAGTTACTTTTCTAAACTCTGAAATTGCTGAGTTCACTTAACATTTTCTAGTCTTTGCTGTTTTAATTAGCTTCTTACAGAAGTTGGATTCCCCAAAGTAGTTTGCTCTTACTACTATCTGGTAGACCCAGTTCCTGATCATTTTTAATTTTGGCACAGAATCCTCTGTCAAGGATCTTTGATGTAAAGACCCCACTACCCCACGATGCTAGAGTTGTGCTACACTGAAAACCTGGGCCTCTAAAATCACTGGCTATCTTATTATCTTATTATTATTATTAGCAAACACACATTGAGAAGCTGGTCTATGCTAAGACTAACTAAAAAAAAAAAAAATGGAGAGTATGAGGGCCTGTCCAAGAAATCTAAACAAGAAAAGCAAGCATATGCTTCAGGAGCGAGAAAGCCAAGTTAGTAAGTTCCCTGCTTGTTTTTGCTCACCATTGAATCTCCAGAGCCCTTTGCAGTGCCTAAAACATAGTAGGTGCCCACCAAACATTTGTTGAATAAATACTGAAGAGGAAATATGGAGCACAAATAAAATGTTTTGTATTCCTATGTTCTTTAAAATGCTCTATTTTAGGCCTTAATCAGGACCTACCTTTGGCAAAATTATCCAGGGGTAAAATTTGTCTTCAAACCTCAAGCACAGTTCTTCCTGCCCTCTCGTTAATGGAAAGAAAAACAACTCTAGAGAAAGAAACGCTTTAAACAATTTGCACTAATATGTAAATGAATGATAACATCTGACACTCTCTCCTCTATTCCTTCTCAACTAATGGTGTTTGTTTTCTCATAAGGAGTGGGGAGAAGTTTATGCCAAAATAATTAATCTCTAATAATATAATGTATACTTCAAGCATCAGTTGCAGGTAGGCAAAGGAGGATGGACCACTTTTTGAGTAAAAAAAAAAATTTAGAAACTTTTGCTGCCCCTCAGATCAAAGTAATTAACTGTCCATTCTAGGTTTAAGGCTGGCATTTTGTGTTATAATGAAGGTCACTCACTCCTAAGCACAATACCCACCGCAAATTCCAAAACGTTGGCTTTTTTAGACCATTTCTCAAATTTGTGCACTTACAACACAGGTCCCTCCTCAGGCCACATGATAGAAAGTGCCCCTTGCCATTCGTTCTCAGTTGTTGTTGCTCTTTTCTCTTCGTTAACTGCAAGATAAACTGTCCCCAAGTTGAAGGTCTGCCCTTACACTTTTTTCTGGTATCTATGTCATGCATTTGATCATAACTTCTAACTCTGTTATGATTCCCTGGACAACCAGAAAGTTTTATGTTGCTGTAGGATTTAATCTTGATCCCCCAATTTAAGATTGTACAGAAGGAAACTTAATCTTTAAAAAAAAAAAAGAAGGAAAGGAAGAAAGGGAGGAAGGAGGGAGGGGGGAGAGAAGGAAGGAAAAGAGGAAGGAGGAGGAAGGGAGAGGGAAATAGGGAAGAAGTGAAAGAAAGAAGGAAAGAGGGGGAGGGAGGAACAGAGGGAAGGAGGAAGGAAGGAAGGAGGGAGGGAGGGTGGAAGGAAGGAAAGAAGGAGGGAAGGAAGGAAGGAAGGAAGGAAGGAAGGAAAGAAGGAAGGAAGGAAGAAGGGAAGGAGGGAGGGAGGGAGGGAGGGAGGGAGGGAGGAGGAGAGAAAGAAAGGGGCAGGAGATGGGGGAGGATGCCCTAAGCCTCCACTTGCTGATTTAGGTTCAAGAAAAAAATTAGCTCACTAAAGGCTTCTAGGGTTAATGGAAAATGTGGATATAACTAAACCAAGGTGTGTGAGGTGTGAAATTTTGGAGACAGAAGAGTACTGATACACAGTTGTTCTGGGGCTGTTGCCTAGATTACTCAGGTATGAACACCTGCATGGGATCAGGTTTCCATAGGGATGTGGAATTTCATTTCAGGTAGTTTTCACAATCTGTTGGGAAGCCTGGCTTCACACAGAAAACCACTGTTCTTTAAACATGTACAAAGAAAGACCATGACAAATATGTCTGAGGGAAATGGTTCCTCATACTAGCTTGTCAAGCCGAGGACTTCAATGAATGATTGATTGGTCTTTCTAGTTACAGCCTGAATCAAGTTAACAGCTTGTATAAGACAACATCAGGAAGAAATAAAAAAGAATCATGAGAAAAACTAAACTAAAGCTTGGGTGAGAGCCTTTGAGCTCAAATCTTGACTTAAAGTATCTCAAAGGCTCTCTTTACCCCTTCTTTCCTTCATTCTTTAATTTTTTTACTACATATTGCAGTAAATTTAATGTAACTCAGGGTCTCAGCTCACAGGTGGGCTGTGATTTTTTTCCCCACTACAATCTTTCTTATAAACAAGAGTTGTCAACTACTCACCAAGTAATTCACGGCTCAAATGTCTTCAGTTTACTGCCTGCGCATGCAGACCACTGGCATAGCTGCCTCAGGGTGTCCATTTCTTTGCATCCTCTATGCATTCATAATCCTGTCAAGGACTCCAGTCTGTTGATAAATTCTATTAATATGGTAAATAATTGAAAACGTTAGTAAACGTTTTGAAAATCACTATTCAGCATCCGCAGACCAAGACTTGGATTAGGATTTAGAGTGACACTTCTAATCCTTTAAATTGATCCCACCTGTAGCACAGTTAATGCTGACCTAAATGCAATGACCCAGAGATTAACAAACAATTAGAGTCCTGTGGAGAAATACGTGCTCCACAGACTACTGCCTTCTTTTACCTTTCAAAGTCAGAAACGAGCTCTCAGATTTTGCCTGTGTTTTCCTTTTTCCATTCTGTCTAATAACCACCAATCGCCCTTTCTCCAAGACAGTTCTAAATGCAAAACATTCATCAGCTGTGATTCCAGTTCAGAATATAAAAGGCGATGCAGGCTGGCTCCCTGCAAAATTCAAAGTAGGTGAATTTTGTCTCCTTCTCCTATTCCCCTTAAGTGCCTTCACTGCCTTTCCTTCCAAGAGAGACTCTCTACTTCCCTCTACACCTTTGTACAGAGACATCGTTTCCCCCATACTTTAGATGTATTCCTTAATCAGTTCTTCTCCGTCCTGGGCATCATTCCCTCAGGGCACTGTTCTCATTTCCCAGGTTGAGAGCTGAGGTGTTAAGGGCTAAAAGTGACTTATATTAAATGAGGAATGCTTTTTAATAATAGTTTTATTGAGATATAATTTATCTACCACAAAAGTATACAATTTAGGGTTTTTTTTTAAGGTACATTCAAAAGCTTATGCAACCACCACGACTTTCCAATTCCAGAATATTTTCATTATCCCCACAAAGACTTTTTAAAATTCTTGTTTAAAAGTCACTCCCCATTTCTCTCCTCCTCCTAGCCCCAGGCCACCACTAGTTTACTTTCTCTATGGATTTTCTTTCCTATTCTGGACAGTTCATATAAATGGAATCATGCAACATGTGATCTTTAGTAAGTGGCTTCTTTCACTTAGCATATCGTTTTCAAGGTTCATGCATGTTCTAGCGTGTATCAGTACTTCATTTCTTTTGCGGCCAAATAATATTCCACTTTATTGGATATACCACATTTTATCTATTTATCAGTTGATGGAAATTTAGGTTGTTTCCACCTTGGGCTATTGTGAATATCGCTTTTATTACCTTTGTGTAAAAGTTTTTATATGGACATATTGTTTTTATTTCTCTTTGGCATATACCTAGGGAATTGCTGTGTCATGTAATAACTCTATGTTTAACATTTTTTTAATCAGCAAACTGTTTTCTAAAGTATATGCACCATTTTGCATTCTCATCAGCAACACATGAGGGTTCTTTTTACCTACATTCTTGCCAACATGTTATTATCTATCAGTGTTTTTATTTTAGTGCGATAGGCATTTTATATGTACATTATTTTATATTTATAACAACTCTGAAGACAGATATTACCCATTCTTTCTATTTTGTAAATGAGAATGCCAAGACAGAGATAAAGTAGGCAATAATAATACTTACTAAGTATCATATTACAATAATAATACGATGATGTGACAGGCATTTCTGGAAGCCCTGTCTCCTTTGATCTTCACAGTGACCCCAATGAGATGTCCAGAGAGGTTAAAGTTACTTACCAAAAATCACACAGCCACTGGTCAGTAGAGACAGAATTTTAACTCAGACATTCTGATTCTAGTATGTAATAGAGCCAAAAAGTTTAAACCTAAGACTATTTGGCATCAAGAAAGCTCACGTTTATCCTTGATATATTCCACTAATGCGCCTCTCCTGCTATCCCTCCAAAGACTACTTGCACTTTAATAGGCTCTCCAGAAACACACCATGACTACCCAAGGGGAACAATCCCTAATTGTAGAATTTCAGGTGACTTGATGGCAATACTGGTGCAAGTGGGGGCCAGTTACCATTCTCTATCTACTGCTGCATGGTGCCATGGTGTAAAATACATGTACCCAGCATATATTTCATAAGAAGGTTCTGATGAGGACTAGGATGTTCAAGGGACCATTCAATGAATGCTCCAAAATCCTGAATAGACATGAGATTCTAAATGTATAGGTAGAAGTCGCTGGGAATTAGCACATAAATAAAATTTCTAAAGTAAATTTGCTTCTTTTGATTAGAGTTCCACAAACACTTGTTGCTCTATGGGCTTTACATATACTAACTCAATGGATCATCACAACTGTCTTGTGGGGTAGGTATTAGTATTATTATCATCCATATTGTATAGATGAAAAACTAAGGCACAAAGAGATTAAGTCACTTTCCCAGGGCATACAGCTAGTTTGTGGTGGAGCCAGCTATGAAAATAAGTAGTCTAGCTTTAGAGTCAGTGCTCTTAACCACTGCCTTTTAAAAGAAATCTCAGTATGGGGCTCATTGGATTTATCCAGACACTCAAAAATTCCCATTGGATCTCTAAGTTTTAGTTACAGTATAATTAAAGATGATTTTAGAACAGAAATCTAAAACCATTTGGGGTCCTTGTGAATCTAAAATTATACAGATACTTCAAATCTATTCATGAGTACAAACTTAAAAATTATTCCTACACGCCTTTTAGAACTGCTATGTCAGAAACATCAGCACACTGTATGATCAGGTGGTGACCTTAGCGTTCTCATGAACTTACAGTACCAGAATGTTTATGGATTCTACTAGATGTTGTTGGAACTCGTATCAGTTCCTGTCTATGTTACCAATATCGAAGCCTAACAATTTACAAAATGTCAGCATCTCTGGATGATCCTTACTTCCTAAGGTGCCATGAAATGAAAGAATCCAAAATAGCAACCTCTCCCTCCACAAAACTGTGAAGCCAAACACATCACTTTAGCTTCCCTCTTACCATTAGCTGCAAAGAAAAAATAATGTAGCTCATTTGCATTTAATGATTTTTTTACTACTAAACACTACAGGGAACTCTTAATTACATACATCATGAGAAAGGGCCTTACATAATATTGGCCTAGGATCCTTCTATTCCTTTGGAGACTAAGATGCATGGCTGGGGCATGAGCTATAAAAATAGGTTCAGAATTGTGTGCTTCTAGTCAATCATCCAGAATAAGGCTTGGACAAGTAGCTCCTTGCAGTCAAGAAATCACATGAGAACCTGGGAAACAAGCGAGGTGATGGACGAAGATAAATTAGAATGAGAGAGGAAAACTACAAGAAACGATACGAGACAAACTTACATATTTCGCTTGATTCCAGTGAGGGTTCTGAACTGTGATTCTCCACCTTCCTTTACACTTTTTACCTAACCCTATCTGACAGAATGTTCTTTTTCTAATTCAGTAATAATAACAAAATTCTCTGTCTGCTTATAGTACTCAACAAGCAGTGACAGTACTCAGCAAGACATATATTGGTTCATAAAAGTAGAATAGCTTTGGACAACGGGCAAAATGATAATTTCCGGTTATTGAGCATCTCCTTTCAACTGGCATTGTTAGCATTACTTCATTATTTCTAATAGCATCCCTAAGAGGTAGGGAAAATTCTGTTTTTAAGAAAAAAAAAAAGAATTCTTCACGAACTTTCGTGTCATCCTTGCGCAGGGACCATGCTAATCTTCTCTGCATTATTGCAATTTTAGTATATGTGCTGCCAAAGCGAGCACAGTAGGGAAAATTCTTATTTTCACTTTAGAGAAAGAAAACAAAGCACAGGGAGTTTACGTACTTTGGCCAAAGTCACACAGCTGATAAATGGTGGACCCATGATGCAAATTCAGGTAGCATGGTTTGGTTCCAGGGCCTGATGCTGAATAACTTTGCTATACCACTCTAGGACGCAAAGTCGTTATTGAAGTGTATTATGCTTGTATATTTGCAGTATACGTTATTTTGTTTACGTGCGTGTGTATTTATGGCATTATAAATGGGTTTGCTTTTCTTCAGTTTAGACTGGAGAGGTGACCCAGCTTTCTGCCACATTTAGCCCGAAAAACGTGACCAGAATAAAGCTCAGTGGCAGGGCGCGGTGGCTCACGCCTGTAATCCCAGCACTTTGGGAGGCCGAGGCGGGTGGATCACGAGGTCAAGAGATCGAGACCATCCTGGTCAACATGATGAAACCCCGTCTCTACTAAAAATACAAAAAAATTAGCTTGGCATGGTGGCGCGTGCCTGTAATCCCAGCTACTCAGGATGGTGAGGCAGGAGAATTGCCTGAGCCCAGGAGGCGGAGATTGCGGTGAGCCGAGATCGCGCCATTGCACTCCAGCCTGGGTAACAAAAGCTCAACTCCGTCTCAAAAAAAATAAAAATAAAAAATAAAATAAAGCTCAGTGCTGCCGTCTAGTAGTCAGCTCCCACACTGAAATTAAAGCCAAAGCTGTAATGACACTATACAGCCGCAGGATGTCGGCATTTTACCATTATTTAGTAACCCGTCTTTAGACGTTAATACGGGTTGCTTGTTTGTTGTAAGAATACGTTAGAAAATTCAGAACAGTGAAAAATAGAAAAACGTTTTGTTTTTATTAAATATTGTATTTTCGCGCCATTTCACTCCAGCCTGGGTAACAAGAGCGAAACTCCGTCTCAAAAAAAACTTGTGTTTTTCCAAAGTTATACTCAAACCAGTCATACAATTTTGTAAACTTATTTTTTTAATTTGACATTAAAACATACCTATGTTCTCACAAAGGGCAAGGATTTGGAGTCGAACTGACCTGCCTTCAAACCCCATCTCCATCTTCCCTAGCTATGTGACCTGAGGTTAATTACTTAATTTCCGTAAAGCCTTAGGTTTCCTCAAATGAAAGGAATTATGATAAACAGAACTATTTCCCAGCACTGTTGTGGGGATTAAAAAGAATAATGCATACTAAGTGTCTCACACAGTAGGTGCTCAAAACATGGCATTCCTTTAGAGCATGCTAATCTCGTGGCACTCTTGCTTTAGGAGCCTCCACTCTACATTTTATCACATATACTTAGACATGTACAGTCATATCCTATGTTCAATAAATATATTTTTTGCTAAAAATTTAAGATGATTTTAAAATTTCGCCTTTGAAATTTATTATCAGCTAAGCTTCTTAGCAGAGATTATATATACTAAAGAATTCTTAAAACTGATACAATCTAACCAGCCATTTTTCCAATGTGTCAAAATTGTCCTGAACACAAAATACAATAACCTATAAAATGATGAGTTATGTTTTTGACATTTACTTAAACATTATAGACTTTGATTTTACAGTTATCTTCGTATTTTGAAACCAATAACTTTTCTCAAGCTTCAAACCCCTTTGGCAGATCCTTGAGAAGTTCATAGGCCTTAGGCATTGTGCTTGTAGTGTGCAATGGCTTAAAATAAAAGAATCTGGTTAACATTATTATCATTTCACTTATACATTATTTTACGGTTACAGAATATTTAATTTTGTATATGTTCCAACATGTACTCAATCGTGCCCCTAGAATTATATATTTAGATTGTTTACAAATTTTTCCTATTATAAATGATGCTGCAAAGCATATCTCCAAATACAAACCTCTTTTCAGTATATTAGGATTGTTAATTTAGGATAGATTCCCAAAGTAAAATGACTGAGTCAGAGTATATGAATATCAGTAATGTTCTTAATATATATTGTCCAATTACTTTCCAAAATATTTGGACCAATTTATGCTCTCACCAATGGTCAATAAAGTAAAAGTGTCCATTTTATGACGCGTCACCAGCTGCAAGTTGTCTCAAATTTACATTTATCAATTGTATAAAAAGAACTTTGCTATTAACATCTATTTTTCTATTACCATTGAGTTATTTAAAAATTCTTTTCTCATAATTTTATAAGTCATACGCATTTTCTGCTTCGTAAATCTTCTCTTTGTCTCTTCCCCTGCTTTTAAGGTCCAGTGGTAGACAGAGGATCCCCAAAAATTAGTGTTTTGCACAGTCTTATGCAAAAGCAGGTAGTTAATAATACTATACAGTGCTTATAAACTGCGCTAATGCTATGGATTGGCTTACTTCACTTCCATTCCACCCTGGAATCTTCTGTAACTTAGATTTCGCATGTGGATTAGATGTCACCAAATAGATGTACTTATATGAAGTTTGGCAATTAAAATTGAGCTAAAAAACTAGAAAGAGTAGTTCTATCTGGATATATGAGGTTTTCTACAGTGTTCATTTTCCACCTTCCTAGGTATCAAGAGGAAGTGAGGTGCTTCCCGTACCAAAGTCAACAACAGCAGCATCCTGGTCTGGTTTCTAATCACTTGGTCACACCTATTGCATGGTCTTCATCTAGCTCCCTAGGCATTCAGAAACAGCTGCAGCAGCTGCAGAGGTGAAAAAAAAGCACGTTCTTGATTCTGGCAGAGCTCTACAGGTGACATCAAAGGTAATAATTCCCTTAAATTTTCAGTTCTGTATTTTTCTGGAACAATGATTGTGAAATAGACCTTTAGACCTTCCAACAATCTTATAAGTACTCAGTACCCTGTTTTAAATTCCTTCCCATAAATTGTTAGGAACTTTTCGGAACATATTCTAACAGTATATATTACAATATAAAAATATGTATACACTTTGATCTAGCAATTATACTTAGAAAATTTTCTTGCATGGAAAAAAAGCATTAGCATGCATTGTCACCAAGATATTTACTGCAATTGTTATTTTAGTAGCAGAAAACAACCTAGAGAAAACCTGAATGCGCACCAACAGGGCCCATGCTACACACCAACAGGGGCCATTCATTACAGAACATCCATGCTACGGCATACTATAGATCAAACTAACAAGTAAAAAATTAAAAAAAAAAAACAGAAAATGTTATCCATTCATTAATCTGAAAGTATGCCATGATACATTTAAGGAAATGGTCTGTATAATTCCATTTTTGTCTTTAAGGAAGTGAGGGTATTTCTTTCTGCTTAAGAAACTACAGTGGTTTCTGTTTCTTGCCCTGAACCCTGACTGATACACACACACTCATCATCATCATCAGTAAACATTATATATCTGATGTGGATGGCTGGTTTCTAATCCAGTTATGAATCTCATAAATAAATATACAGGAAAATTCTTGGAGGCCCAACACTTATTAAAATATTGTACCACATAAGGGGCTTCTGCTTTAAGATAGAGCAGCTTGTAGCAAACTAATGCTGTTGCTGAGAACAACTAGAAAAATCAGGTGAAATGCTCCCCAAAATGTTCCTTCTTGAAGGCATCAGAGAGCCAGGGCTTGAGAGGTAAGAACCCAGAAAGAAGGGAAGCTCATCGAAATAAGCCCGACTTTCTGCATGTTGTTTTTCTCTTGAGGTATTTCTCAATTCTTGGTCCAGAAACTGGGTAGACAATGACTCCCATGAGTCAGAGAAGTCAACAGAGCTTTAGATAATATCACAGGACCCAGAGTACAAAAATTTGAGTTTAAGGTCAGCCAAGGCCAGCCAGGATTTGAAGAGTCATGAAACTGCACAGACAAGTGAGCCTGACATGTAGCACAAGTTTTCCACTCCAGGAAATTGCCAATTAAGTTGCACAGGGCAAAAGATTATAAGCCCTGCAGAGTGGCTAAAAAGTAGACTGGAGTTTCAGGAGGATTCACAGAGCTGAAGAGACAATAATTGGAATTCAGAACTTCTCAAGGAGGAGTGTCCTTGGGAAACATCTATCCCTGGTTCTCATTTGGGACCCCTGGAGACCTATATCTTAGCAATGGAGTAAACTAGAAATAGGTTGAGTCTAGCAAACACTACAAAGCCTCAGGTAAGCTCAGTGGCTGAAAGGATTAAGATAATTTTTCCTCCCACTGCCTAGCAAAAAACAGGGTGAATCATCTCTGGAGCACATAAGATCATCTAGAGTCTATATACTTTTTTTGGCACAAAGTCTGGCGCTCAGTAAAAAATTAACTAATCTACCAACAAACAGTACCAAGAAGAAAAAAAAAAAGGAGGCAACGGGAACAGACTTAATGACCAAGTTATTGCAGTTACATGACATGGACTATAAATATTCAAGAAAATGAAGGACAATGTGAAGAATTTCACCAGAAAATTAGAATCTGTAAAAAATAACCAAATGGAAATTCTGAAAACGAAAAATACAATAAATGAAATTCATAATTCAATAGTGGGCCACATAAAGTATAAGATCACCACTACTTTGTAGGATATTCTAAGCACCTGCTATGTTATTCCCTCTGGAAGACTCCCTTCCTCCACTGTGTGTAGCATTTGGGGACTGCCAATCAATATGCCCTCCGCTCCTCTGATCAGGAAAGTGGCAGGCGCTAGATTGAAAGCAAGTCAATTGGATTAACCTAAGAATTTGAATCTTGAGCTAAGCAATGCAAAGATGAAAAACAGAGCTGATTCATAGTGCCAATGGTGCCCTGGTGATACGGTTTGGCTATGTGTCCCCACCCAAATTTCAACCTTGAATTGTAATAATCCCTATGTGTCAATGGTGGGACCAGCTGGAAGTAATTGGATCATGGGAGTTTTTTCCCTATGCTATTCTCTTGATAATGAGTTAGTCTCATGAGATCTGATGGCTTTATAAGCATCTGGCATTTCCCCTGCTTGCTGTCATTCTCTGTCCTGCCACCCTGTGAAGACGTACCTTCTGCCATGATTGCACGTTACC